CGGCGCAGCAGCGCCACCTGCAGGGCGGAACGCAGCTCCTGCAGGGAAATGGGGGAAAATAAAGGGATTTTGGGCAAAATAAAAAATGGGATTTTGGGGGGTTTTAATGGGGTTTTATGGGGTTTTTGGGGGGGGTTTGGGGGGATTTTTTTAGGGATTTTATGGGATTTTTTAGGGATATTTTTGGAGGATTTTTTGGGGATTTTTGGGGATTTTAATGGGATTTTTTTGCGTGATTTTGAGGGATTTTTGGATGATTTTTGGGTGATTTTTTGGTGATATTTGGGGGATTTTTGGGTGATTTTTTAGGGATTTTATGGGATTTTTAATGGATTTTTTAGGGATTTTAGGGGATTTTTGGAGGGGATTTTTGGGGATTTTAATGGGATTTTTTTGCATGATTTTGAGGGATTTTTGGATGATTTTTGGGTGATTTTTTGGTGATTTTTGGGGGATTTTAGGGGATTTTTTAGGGATTTTTTGGTGATTTTAAGGAATTTTTTTGGGATTTTAATGGGATTTTTTGCATGAGTTTGAGGGATTTTTGGGTGATTTTGTGGGATTTTTTAGGTATTTTATGGGATTTTTTCGGTGTTTTTTTGGGGATTTTTCGGGATTTTAATGGGATTTTTTGCGTGATCTTTGCGGGATTTTTTGGTGATTTTGGGGGATTTTTTAAGGTATTTTATGGTGATTTTAAGGGATTCTTTTGGAGATTTTAATGGGATTTTTTGCGTGATTTTGAGGGTTTTTTCGATGATTTTTGGGTGATTTTTGGGTGATTTTTGGGGATTTTTTGGGTAATTTTGGGGGAAATTCAGGAATTTCGGGGGATTTAAGGGGGAAATTTGGGGGATGTGGAGAAATTTGGGAAATTTTGTAACATTTTGGGGGAATTGGATGGAGAAATTTCGGGAAAATTCAGGAATTTTGAGGGATTTCAGGGAGACATTTGGAGAATTTGGGAAAATTTGAGACAAATTTGGGAAATTTTGGAGGGATTTTTTGGGATTTTGGGGAGATTTTTTGTTATTTTGGAGATCTTTGTGGGGACTTTTTGGGGAATTTTGGGGGAAATTCAGGAATTTTGTGAATTTGAGGGGGAAATTTGGGGAATTTGGGACAAATTTGGGAGATTCTGGGGGATTTGAGGCAGAAATTTCAGGGATTTGGGGGAATTTGGGACAAATTTGGGAGATTTTGGGGGAATTTTGGGGGATTTTGAGGAGATTTGAGGGGATTTGGGGGAGATTTTTTGTGATTTTGGAGATATTTGAAAGGATTTTGGGGGAATTTTGGGATTTTAGGGGATTTTTGGGGTTTCAGGGGGGCTCACCTGCAGAGACCCCAAATCTGGGGGGTCTTTGGGAGGATCTGCCATCACCTGGGGGCAAAAAAAAGAGAAAATTGGGATTTTTTGGAATTTTGGGGGTTTTTTTTCCAACTCGATTCAGAGAATCTGAAACACGAACCGCGGTTGGAGCCCAAATTCGGGGGAATTTGGGGTGGAATCTCCAGACGAGTTTCAGGGTGCGGCGCCCCTCAACCCCCCCTCGCTTTTGGGGAGGATTTTTGGGGTGATTTTGGGTTTTTTTGGGGTTTTTGAAACCCCCAAATTTCGTTTTTACCTCAGGGAAGCGGCGGCGGATCCAAAATGGCGGCGCGGCTTGAGGGGGGGGAAGTGGGCGTGGCTTTCTCGTGTGACGTCATGCCCTCACTCCTCTGCCCTCACTTTGCATGGCGCTTTACGCGCTTCACCCCTTATGGCGCATGCGCCAGCACAAGCCGCGCTCCTATTGGTGGATTTATTGCCTTGAATTCCCGCCTTTCCCCTTTATGGCCACGCCTTAGTGAGGGCTGCCCTTAAACAACATGGCGCGGCACGCTCTTTACAACAGCGCACATGCGCCAAATCCCGTCGACCAATCAGCGCTCGCGATTTTGCCTAAGCCCCGCCCTTCTTCTCCCTCCCCTCAGGCCGCCATGATGGCGGCGGCGGCCCCGCGGCTGCGGCCGCTGCTTCGCGCCCTGAGGGTTCAGGTGAGCTGGGAAAGGTTTTTTTTGCTTTATTTTTAATTTTTTGGGTTGTTTCAGGGGCGGTTATGACGTCGAGTGAAGGTTGTGGCGTCGTAAAGAGCGGAAAAATGTTTTTTTTTTTTCCTCGCAGAGTTGTCGGGGTCCCGTGTGGGGAAGCGGAGCCGCGGCCGTGAGGGGAGCGGCGAGCGGCGCGGGGCAGGAAAATTGGGGAAGTTTGGTAAAATTTGCAATGAATTTTGGGATTTTTGGGGGAAATTTGGTGTGAATTTTGGGGGGAATGAGAGAAATTTGGGGTTTTGGGGGAAATCTGGGGGTTTTTAGGGAGAAAACT